CACACAGAATCCCAGAATCCCAGAGCGTTAGGGATTGGAAGGGACCTCCAAAGCTCATCCAGTCCAATCCCCCTGCCGGAGCAGGAACACCCAGATGAGGTTACACAGGAAGGCGTCCAGGCGGGTTTTGAATGTCTGCAGAGAAGGAGACTCCACAACCTCTCTGGGCAGCCTGGGCCAGGGCTCTGTCACCCTCACTGAGAAGAAGTTTCTTCTCCAATTGAAGTGGAACCTCCTGTGTTCCAGTTTGTGTCCGTTACCCCTTGTCCTATCATTGTTTGTCACTGAGAAGAGCCTGGCTCCATCCTCGTGACACTCACCCTTTAAATATTTATAACCATGAATGAGGTCTCCCCTCAGTCTCCTCCTCTGTAAACTAAAGAGCCCCAGCTCCCTCAGCCGCTCCTCAGAAGGGAGAATCACCCCACTTCAGCAGAGATCTCAGCTTTCTATTAGGTTGTGAAAGTCAACACCAAACTTAGACCTACCTATGGGGGGACTTTATTGGCAGGGGATGGATCAGAGTTTGGAGCTGCTTTGCTGAAGGTGCAGTTCTGAGCTGAAAGCTCCACAGGCGAGGAGGCCTCTTAAATATTTTCAGCTCCTTTCACCTAACGTTTTCCATTCGTATCAAGGCAAAAGCAGCCCAATTTTCGCTACCACGTGCGTCACTACGCGTCAGCTGAGCAGCATCACACAACCTGGGCTGGCAAAGTGCACACTTTGAAGGATTTTAACAGGGTCCTTGGTGTTTGGTAAACCCGGGGTACGCTGAGTTTTAGCCCTTTCCCAGTAGTACCAGTTGGTTTTTCACACAAGATGGAAGTGCACAGGTTTGGCAGTGCTTTCCGTAGGCTTAGGCTGTCAGTTGTGTACCCCCAGTTGTGGTTCCATTGAGTTTCCCATTTTGCAGGATTTGGCCCGTGCTGGTGCTGTGTCCTTCCAGGAGGGAGGGCTGCCCAGTTTGCAGTGGTCTTAGCTTATCCCCTAGTGGTACCTGCTCGAATCACAGACCCTGCGCACACAGCGGGCACCTTGGGTGCAAAGGGAAGGAGAACAAGTCATCAACCCAGCCCCGTTGTGTAGAGTTGGGAATAACACAGGGAAAAGGAAGTGAATTACTTTGGTAGATCCTCAGGCACCAAGAATTGTATCTGTGAGCACCACCAAATCTTAGAATTTCAGAATTTTTTCAGGCCTTCTTTTCCATTCTGTGCTGCAATGAGAAGCAATGTTGAGGTGTGGTGCTGCTCTGGTCCTGCTGGGTCTGTTCACGGTGCTGAGCAAGGGTCAAAAATTCCTTTGGCTGGTCTCACGGTTCGTTACTGCAGTACTTAACTGGAGGAGAACATGTGATCTGACATGTCAAATGTGGCCCTGGTTGGGTAGCGGCCAAATTGGGCTGCTTAATTTCACTTTGCCTTAAAATGGCTGACGTTGGAGTTCACATTCCCAAATTTCCCTCTGGAATGTACTTTGAAACTCTTTTTTTAGTAACTTTGTAAATCTTTCTGCATCTGTTTTCCCTCAGAATTGAATTGCTTCAGAAAACAACAGTCCAAAAACTTAAGTGAATGTTTCACACAGCCTTTCTGGGCCCACTTTGTATCGTGAAGTTTCCTCCATCTGTGGATTGGAGATAATGTACGTTAACAAATCACTTTGCCCAGCGCAAAGCCCAGTTCACAACAAATTATTAAATGGCCTGTAGCAGAAGAAAAACCGAATAGGAAATAAGGCAACGCTTCTTTCAGTCTTCAAGTTTTTCATAAGTCATTTATGAAGATGGCAAAAAAAAGTTCCATCAGATTTTCAGGCTTTCTTTTGCAGCTTCGTGTGGTGCATTATTTGGCAAAGCGAGAAAATGCCATCAAATGGTTCGTGGTTGAGCCAGTCCCGAGCTCGCGGGCGGCTGCGGCTGGGCTGGCAGTGGCACAGCGGGGTAGGTCGCTGGCTGGAAGCTGGCCTGGAGTGGGATGGAAGGGGTGAGTCATGTGGAGAAGGTTTGGTGTTCACGGGCTGCTCTGCTGCATCTCTGCAGCTCCCTTGAGTCGTGAGTGGATTCGGTTCTGCCCCTTGCAGCATCCGAAGGCGGCAGAAAACAGGCGAGGAGTGGTGCAGGGCGGTGCTGACCTGATCTGGGTACCCAGAGCTGGGATTGCTTACGAGTTCCTGTCACAGCCACATATTTTCACAGTGTTTTCAGTGGGATGGCCAAGCAGAGAGCAATATAGAGGGCAAAAATGTAATCAGATGACTACGGGTTGTGGTCAGAATCTTTGTTTAATGAGAGATGAACCTCTGTTTCTTGATGAATAGCAACATGTTGTGCCTCAGGATTTCATCAGTGTGGTGGGGTTTTTAAGCGTTTGGGCAATTCCTGCCTCAACCAGATGATCCGTGTAAGTGAAATGGGATAGCGGATGGGAGAAAACCTGGCAGAGGTGGTCCCAGCAGCTCAGAAATGATGTTGGGAGCAGTCCTTTAGTGAGCCCAGCTGAAGAGTTGCACCAGCTCCCTAGAGATACTGGGGAGTCCTGTGGGGAAGACGACTGGAAGGCAGAAAAATCCTCGTGCCCCATTGAGCACCTGGTTTGCTCTCCCCTCTTTTCACCCCATGTCCATCTCTGTGGGGAAAGCAAACCTCTTTTTCCCCATGCACACACCTTGTTTACTGCTGGTTTTCCCAGCAGCAGCTCATGTTTTCAGATCAATACTGGCTCCTGGCAACAAGAGGTTAAGCGTCATTTCCCAGGTCTGCTGCGATGTTTTGTGCTCAGAGCCCTCCTGATCCTTGGTGCCAGCCTTGATTTCAAGGGGAAAGAAGGGGAGAGCGGAGAAAGCTGGAGACACGATGTGATTTCTTAAAATGTTCTTCTTTTATTGAAATATCTCCCCTAGAACCTCTCTAAAACCTGGCACTTGCTCTTCTTTGCCCCAAGCTGCTCGTTTCCAGGCATGCCCGTGGTGCGGGTCCCACTCTGGTCCAGGGTGGCCGTCTCCCCGCTGCCTGGACAGAATGTCCTGTGGGTGACGGGGGGAGGACAGCGTGGCCGTGCTGAGTCTTGCCACCTGTTGCCTCGCTCATTCCAAGCCCCCTTCCTCCCCACCCTGCAGCCCCAGCTCCCCTCCCCACAGCTCACCATCCCCAGTGGATAGGGCTGGGATCAGCCGGCGCTTGCCAAATACCTTTCTGATGCTGTCACTAATTCTGCACAGACAGCATCTCTGAAAGCAAAAACAAACCTTTTCCAAGGCATTGTCCTGCGTTTGCTACAAGAAGCGTTTAGAAATGCCTTGTCTTAGTTGGGTTAGATGGGAGGGACCGCGCCATCGCCGCTACAAGAGTCAGCCCCAGGGAAGCCCGAAGCTGTGCCGAAAGAATCCCCTGCAAATCCATTGAGGCTGGCATTTGGCACCGGCACGGGCTAATTTTGTCCGTGGGGTTACACATATACATGCCCGTGTCATTCTTCTTCATCTGCTACACATGGAAAGCTGCCCCGAGCCCCAGAGTGCCAAGGAATGATTCACTCAAACCTCCAGGCTCTGTTTGGTGATGTCCCTGTCGCTGGGCTGCGGGAGCGGGGAGCACTGCTGGATGAACTGGTGTTAACTGGGAGTCATTGGCTCAAGCTGTGGTTGCACGCTACTGCCCTGCACCCATGAGAGCAGCAGAGTGATCGTGGGCATGAGGCTGTGATTTCCTCCCAGTGAAGGTGTGCAAAGGGGCTGGTGTTGCTCCAGCTCCAGAGCTGCTGTGTTTGCCTGGGAGGGAGTCAGCGAGGAGGCTGGGGAAGTGCCCCCTAACAGCACTGCTTGCCGTTCCTCATGGGTCCTTCAGGTAAAGTCCTTTAGATCACGGTTTTTAGGAGTGCATAACGGTTTGGAGAAGCAGTCTCTGAGTTCCCAATTTAAGATGCCTTGAAGGGGATGGGTTTTCAGAGCACAAGACACTGGCAAATGAGATCCTTTATTTCACTGGCAAATAGACCTGGATTTGAAGCATTTCGGTCTCTCCAAATGTTGCCGTGCCTGCATTTTACAGACACACCTGTGTAAATACTTGTTTGCCCACAGAATCACAGTGAGGTGCAAGGATGAAAACGTTGAATTCCAATATGAGCAATTCCTAGTTATTGCAGCACGGCTCTGCCTCCTTCCTTAGAACCAGGTTGAGCGGGAATATGGAAAGGTGGAGTTTGGAATTGCAAAAAGCAAGGAAAGGAGGAGAAAGGCATAGAAACGAGGTGGTGTTTCTCGTGTTATTTCTCGTCGCGATGCAGCGTAAGGTCCAGAACCTTCTCCCTCCCTGCTGACAGACGTGTTTGTACTGGCAAGGCTTCAAGCTGGTATCCCCACTGCACCAGTTAAACCAGTAGTTACCAATTTTTTTGCAAGCCACGCTGGGACTATAGGAATTTTATTCCTTCACAGTGTTGAAGGGAAGGGGTTTTGCTTGCCAAAGGGCTTTCTTATGCTTGAGGATGATTTATGGGCCAAGCTGAGCCACTTGTGGAAAAGGCAAAGCAGCTCTTGGCAGCACCCCCAGAATCCACTGCAGCTGTGGGGTAGTGAAGTCATCGGCATAACAACCACTGCAAACAGAATAACAAAGTCTGTTCTGTTCGCCTTTAAAATAATCTTTCCAGTTCAGCAACCACATTAAACCTTACCTTTCTGCATACAAAAATAAGAAAAGGCAGATAGTTCTCTGCAACACGACGTGAACGTCTCACTTCTGTTACTGCCTATCACTCCTGTGCCGTCTGCGCTTTACCGGAGTGTTTTAAATGAAGGAATGAAGCTGCGTTATGCCATAGTTTGTGTCTGTCCCTTGTTTTCACTCCTTTGTTTTTCCTTAGGTTTAAAAACGCAGAAAAAACCCGGTGTTTTTTTCTTTTAAAGACAGGATTTGCTTTTGCCTGATAACCTGCTGCTAAGCTGAGTGCAAAATGAGTAATTCTGACTTTGATTTTTCCTGCCTGTCTTTGTTTCAGGTCCCTTCAGATCCTCCTGCTTCCAAAAAGCCCAAAATAGATGACTCTGCTTCCCAATCTCCAGCTTCTACCGAGAAGGAAAAACAGTCCAGTTGGTTACGGTCCTTATCCAGTTCATCTAATAAGGTGATTGCTGAATATTTTGTAATCAAAAGAGAGATCAAATTAGCACAGAGCATCCCTTTACTGAAACCAGAAGAGAAAACGAGAGAAAGAACTTGCCTGAGTTTTCTCAATTAATAACATTTTGATCCTTTTCCTATGGAAAGGATAGAGGATTCCTCTAAATATTGAGCTATAGAGTCCTCCTGGTTTCCTTGCCATCCTCCAGTGCTCACTGACCTTGACTGTGGCAATGGAGTGAGCAATTCCTTCACACCTTTGAGGTACGAGAATCCTGAAAGACTCGGGAGTCTTTTGTGGCCTCTGCAAACTCCACAGAACTTCTTGACAAAGAGAAATGGGTGAAGTTTCCCATCAGTGCAGCTCACCTCTTCCAGTGGAGTCCAGTGTAGGCCCTAGCGAGCGGGGGAGCAGTTTTAGAGCTAACAGAACGTGTGCTGAGAAGCATCCCTAGCACCTCGTTGTGATTTCCAGTTTACAAGACTCTTTGTATTTATTATTTCCCTCTCCTCTCCTTCCCAGAGCATTGGCTGTGTCCACCCCCGTCAGCGTCTCTCAGCTTTTCGGCCCTGGTCCCCTGCTGTATCGGCAAATGAGAAAGAGCTCTCAACCCATCTTCCCGCTTTGATCCGAGACAGGTAGGGGGGTGCAAACTGAAGGGAGAGTGGGGTTGGCAGCCGTGGGGTTTATTTGCCAGCAAATTGCTTTAAGTTTGTTCCCTTGCACTGCTACTTGGTGGCTTTGTAATTCATTCATGTTGGATTAAAAATCCCTCCTGATGCCTGGGGTCCTGGGGGTCATGGCAGAGCAGACGGGGCAGAAGAGCCTGGGGAGACCCCTCAGCTTAAAGGGCCCATCAGAAAACTGATGTTCCAGGCCAGATCCTGCACTTGGACAGGAGCAGAATTAAACTGGTACACGAATGAGTCACCTCCTGTAATAGGTGGCACTGCTGGTGTCACAGAACGGAAAGAGTTGGGGCAGTTTCCCATTCCTCTGCCAGGCCTGAACTCCTCAGTCTGAGAAATCTTGGTGCCAGATTTCTGCCTAAGGGTAACGGCTTCTTTGGAAAGTTTGACTAAAATGACCAGGTGTTTTTAGGGAGCATTATGGAGAAGAAATTTTGCTGCCCTTATGAACGAGTTTCTTAGAAGCTGTGGGGATTGATTTAAAAAGAAAAGAAAGCCCACCAGCGTATCCTTGCTTTTAAACAGACTTTTCAGTTAGGCAAGGAGAGAAAGGCTGAACTGGTGTAAGAGTGTGCCCTGGGTATCCCTGTGGGAAATTTGGCCAATTTAAGTCTTGGGAAAAAACCACGTTCAAGAGGTTCAGGAGAAACTTTAATCGATGTCTGAAGATACATCATGGAGCAGATGCTGAATTGCACTTGCACAGACAGTCTCTGCAATGTTTTTTGCAAAATTCTGTGTATTTGACGTTACAAACCAACCCTTTAACATGGGTTTGTTGGGTTTTTAACTGGTTTTACATCCGTGCACTCAGGTGCGTGCTGGGCCAGAAAGTCCAAAGATACACGAGAATCTGCTTTTTGCAGTCCTGTGACCTTTCTTAGAGAAGTGCCAAGTTTACAAAACACTTGTGGATAGGCAGAAGTCAAACATAAAATGATGATAAATGAAGATCATGAGAAAACTTCACTATTAGTGTTTAGACTCTGGGAGATCTCCTCTCTTTGGTGCTCTTAGAATACGTGGCAATTGGGCCACTTCTGAGCTGGGTGGAGATCAGCTGTAGAGAAACCTCCATGTTTACATGAGCAAATTCTTCGCTGGTGTAAATCCATGAACTTCACTGTGACTGCAGTAAGCATCGTGCAGTTCCAGTGTAACGCATGGATTGGGAACCACTTCAAAGCCAGATGATGACTGTTTTCTCCTTCCTTTTGCCTCCTGTAAAACAGTTTTTACTCCTACAAAAGCTTTGAGAATGCGGTGGCCCCCAATGTGGCACTTGCACCTCCAGCCCAACAGAAAATCGTCAGCAACCCGCCCTGTGCCACGGTGGTGTCGCGGAGCAGCGAGCAGCTCGGCACCGCTGCCCAGCCACGGAAACGGAAACTCGCTGCCGAGACCCCCGCCATCCCAGAAACAGCGGCCACGGTCACGGCCACTGTCACTGCCCCTGAGGAGGATAAGGAGTCGGAAGCAGAAATTGAAGTGGAAACCAGGGAAGAATGTGAGTGAGAGTTACACCTGCCTTTATTCTGGTATATTTGTGCTGAGTTCTCCTCAGTGATCCACAGGAGTTAGCGGTTCGACTTCTGTGGCCTGTAAATGTAATTCTGGAAGCCCGATACCTCAAAGTGGGGTAAAAGTAGAGCCTTAAGTAACAGTGAAAAGCAAGAATGGCACAGAAGTTGGGGGCTGTTTTCCTGGGAGATGTGTGTGCATCAACAAAAAACCTCACCCAAGCCACAGGTGTACGCTGCCCTGGAGCCTTTTATTAACGCGGGTAAGGGGTGTGCAGAGGACAAAATGTACGTGGTGTTCGCATAAAAACGGATGGTTTACTGTCCCATCAAGAGCCTTCTGTAAAAACCTGTGTAGGATACACACAAATAGCCCCTAAAAATCTGGAGTGCACACATGTGCAGTTGTGTGCCCTTGGGTGACTCTGCTGCTGCCCTCAGTGTGTGCAGCCCTGACTTGGTGCGTGCAGTTTATGCAAAGAGAAGGAATGTTACCCACTGAGCAAGGCAGGGACGTGTAGGCTTCCCTG